AAAATGCACAATTGTTATAATATGAGAGCTTATCCGCTGTACTAATAATAGAACATGTTGCTTACTTCCCATTGGAATTAATAAAGCATTTCGATTGTTTACATTTCTTTATATTATCTAAACACAATTGCGTTGCTAGGCAACAGCATGGTTCCATTCTTACTTCCTGTCAGCTGATGTCCTTCAGTCCTTATTTGGAATGGAACCTTCAGAATTATGACATCATCTTTCGCCTTTATGTAGAATTCTGAATTCTGCATTGATCTTCTAGAATTCATCAGAGCATCAGAGCACCAGAGCAGCAGGCAGAAGCAATTTGTCCAGCTAGTGTCAGATCATTGCAGAAATAGGTTTTGTTTGCAAGCAAACATTAGGGATACTTGCAGTGTTTTTTAGCGAGATAATCTTCACAAGTGAACTCAACTTTTGTGGGATTTTTGTGACGTTAATTCAGTCGAACAATTACATTTAGTTTGCTAAACAACAGGTCATTTCGTCACAGCAGTAGAGATGGAGATGAACAATAGAGATGAGCTGGCAGTCAAGCTCGAGATTCTGCAAAAAGAAAATCAGGAGCTGGAGCAGGAGAGGACTTTAAGGGATAAGCTTGAGATTGAAGGCGCTAAAAAGAAGGAAGCGATGCTCAAAGCATATACAGAGAAATCAGCTTTGCAGTTTAAGCACAATGTGAAAGTGAAAGTCCAGGAAATTGAGCAGAACGTCTTGCGCGTCAACAATGAGGCCCCTGAACATGAAATACAGAAACCTCCAGAGGTCACACAAGAAGGTCGAAGCCAAGATGCCTGCCTTGAGAAAGGCAAACCAGGAACTCAAACAACTGAAAGAACCCTTTGTTGAGGAGCAAGGTGTAGAGATGGCTGCTTTGTGTGAGACAAATCAGGAACTCCAACAACAGAAGCAGCGTTGTGTGGAGGAGAAGGATAAAGAGATAGCTGCCTTGCTGAAGGAAAACAAAACACTGAAACAAGAGAAGGAGCGTTGTGTTGAGGAGAAAGATGCAAAGACGGCCGCCTTGCAAAAGACTAACCAAGAACTCAAACAAACAAAAGTTGCGTTGCGTTGAGGAGAAAGATGCAGAGATAGCTGCTTTGCTGAAGGAAAACCAAACACTGAAGCAAGAGAAGGAGCGTTGTGTTGAGGAGAAGGTGGACAAGAAGGAGGATGTGGAGGGTGAAAGTGGAGGTGGAACCAGAAGTGAGGCATGATGTTAAAATGAATGCCCTGGAAATTGACCAGAAAGTATTGCGCTTGAAACAATGAGGACCTGAACATGAAATATGGGAAGCTCCTCAAGTTGCATGAGAAGGACAAAGCAGAGATGGCCGCCTTGGAAAAGGCAAACCAGGAATTCGAACAACAAAAGGCACGTTGTGTTGAGGGAAAAGGTTGCAGAGATGGCTGCCTTGCTGAAGGAAAACCAAACACTGAAACAAGAGAAGGAACGTTGTGTGGTGGAGGAGGCGAAGGTGGACAAGAAAGAGGTTGTTGAGGTGAAAGTGGAACCAGAAGTGAGGCACGATGTGAAAATGAATGCCCTGAAAATTGAGCAGAAATCTTGCGCGGAAACAATGAGGAACTGAACATGAAATATGGAAAGCTCCTCAAGATGCACGAGATGGACAAAGCAGTGATGGCCACCTTGAGAAAGGCAAACCAGGATCTCAAACAACTGAAAGAACCCTGTGTTGAGGAGAAGGATGCAGAGATTGGTCGCTTTGCATGAGAGAAACCACGAACTGGAACAACAGAAGGAGGAACGTTGTGTGGAGGAGAAGGATGCAGAGATAGTCGCTTGCATGAGAGAAACCACGAAACTGGAACAACAGAAGGAACGTTGTGTGGAGGAGAAGGATGCAGAGATAGTCGCTTTTCATGAGAGAAACCACGAACTGGAACAACAAGAAGGAACGTTGTGTGGAGGAGAAGGATGCAGAGATAGTCGCTTTGCATGAGAGAAACACGAACTGGAACAACAGAAGAAGGAACGTTGTGTGGAGGAGAAGGATGCAGAGATAGGCCTTTGCATGAGAGAAACCACGAACTGGAACAACAGAAGAACGTTGTGTGGAGGAGAAGGATGCAGAGATAGTCGCTTTGCATGAGAGAAACCACGAACTGGAACAACAGAAGGAACGTTGTGTTGAGGAGAAGGATGCAGAGATAGCCGCCCTTGCTGAAGAAAACAGCTGAAAAAACCACCAAGGCACTCTCCATGTGAAGGAGGAGCTTGTGGAGGTAAAGGTGGAGTTGGAGGTGGAACAGGAAGTGAGGTGGATCCACCTGAGCAAACCAATGAGCCGATCCAACAACGCAGAGGAGGACAACACCACGGTGGAGAAGATTCATCAATTCCTTTTCTTGTATCCGCCCCAAACATCAACGATGACTAAAAAGGAAAACATAAGACTCAAAGGCAGCCCTGACATCGGCTTTAAAAACTTTAAAAAACAAACTCACAACATCAAAATTAGTAAGACATTAAAACATTTCAAGTACAGTCTAAAGCTCAAAGTGAGTGAGCAACAACATATACTCACAGCCAGTCAGGATATATATTTAAACACTTAACAGTTATTAGATCTGGTTAGACATCAACAAAGGTTCCAGAAGAGACTCACAGTGATGTGCAGTTTTAGCCACTAGGGGCAAAAAAACACCTTAATTTTTAAAATAAATAAAACTATTCCTTTGCTTCTAGCACCCCTAAATAAGAGGAACATTTAGTCATTACAAGTTATCAGGTTTATGTTATATCGTCATGTTTGGTTTATAGTGTTCATTTCATATTTAAGTTATATTTTTCATATTTACTTAATAGTTCATTTTTATATTTATGTTATATTTATCATGTTTAGTTAATAGTCCATTTTTATATGTATCTCATATTTTTCATATTTACTTAATAGTACATTTCTATATTTATGTTTAGTCATTGTTTTCTTGTTAAGTTAAAGTCTTGTCAATCAATAAAAAAATAATAATGATAATGATAACAATACTGACATGTTTGATTTATTTCACGTTTGTTTCTCCTGTCTAAGTTTAGCTTCTTGCTTTTTCATTTCAAGTCACCAGAGATTTAGTCTGAGAATTCAACTAATAATAACAATCAATACAAAGACATTCAAATTCAAAATAACACTAGAATTCTTTCTCGTTTGTTCCTCCTGTTTTTTGTCTAGTTACCTTTGTATTGAGTGACTTTAGCTCACGTGGCTCTGCCCTGATCAATACACTGACTTAAAGCTACTTCAGTACTTACTTTATTACCTTGTTTACCATTCAAACAATTATCATAATAAATATAAACAAATGAAAAAACAACACTATGTATTTTGATTTCTTTCAAGTTTGTTTTAGTGCAACTATTTGATTTTAAATGCAACAGCACCAGCAAAATAGATTTTTTTTACATTTCTGCTGATGTCCAGGTGTACAGTATATCAGTATGTAGTGTCTCTACTTTAAAGAGTCCTCTCCTGCTGATGTCCAGGTGTACAGTATATCAGTATGTAGTGTCTCTACTTTAAAGAGTCCTCTCCTGCTGATGTTCAGGTGTATAT